AGATGCGATTTCTCAGGCAAGCCTGGGAAGGGCCAGTGATGGCTGTAACAGAGTGGGGGTGTGGTGAGAGGGAAGGGTGTAGGTTCCTTTGGTTAGGGAGCTATGTACAGCTCTGAAGTAAGGGATCGGGACATAAAAGGAAACTGGTTTTGCTCCTGTACTTCCCAATCCACTCAACCATCCATCTGCCCACCCACCTATCCATTCATTCACTCGCCTGCCCATACATTTACCTGTTCACCCACTCATCTACCCACCACCCATCCACTCACCCACACATATCCATCCACCACTTACCTACCCACCATCCACCACCTACCCATCCACTTACCCATCCATCTACCTATATCTATCCACCCACTCATCTGCCCACCATCCATCCATCCTCCCACCCACGCATCCACCTACCCATCCATCCATCTGCTCACCTACCCATTCATCCACTCACTTACCCATCTAGTCACCCACCTACCCACCCACCTTTCCATCCATCTACCCACCTGCCCATCCATATACCCATCTACCCATCCATCTACTCATTTACCCATCCCTCCACTCATCTACCCACCCATCCATCAGTCCACCTACCCATGTAGTTACCCACCCACCAGGGTGGGGTATATGGTGGTGACCCAGATAGCTGAGGCTGTTGCCATTGTAGAACTTGGACTGAATGGGCCAACACAGGATACACAAGATAATCCGCAGTAGTGGTACACGCCGTGAGGGAAGTAGTGGGTGATAGGACAGCAAGCCCTGGGCTGGCGGAGGCTTCTCTGTGTGTGGGAAACAACTTGAGTGGAGTGGCTGGGGGAGCACAGAGGGGCCTGCGAGGCTAAGGCCCAAGCAGTGACTGCTGGGCTTATTTAGGGAGCTGAGACGATAGGGCTGGAGTGTGGAATGTGAGGGCAGAGGTCACGTGGGCCTGTGGGCCAGGGTGGAGGAGTGTTGATTCTGCCCCAGGCACAGCCAGAATGAAACAGCTGGAGAGTGACTGGCTCTCATGTCCCTTTTGAAAGATGGCTCTGGCTGCTGTATGAGTGTGGGCTGTAGAGGGGCAAGGTGGACTTAGGGTGACAGGGAGACCCCGTCCAGGACAGTTGGGTTGTAGGCTTGGGCTGGGGCAGTGACCAAGAAGAAGGAAGAAGTGGTCAGTTCAACATGCATTTTGGAGGCAACAGCACTGAGACTGGTGAGGCGGGGAGAGTGTGAAGCACAGCTGTCTGCTGTGAACCATTTCTGCACTTTGGAGGTGCTCAGGCCCCCTAACAGCCTTCCATGGGGAGACCCTATTCCCCCCATTTTGTAAATGACAAAACAGTGTTTTTTGGCAGGTAAGTACTTGCCCCGGTTCACTCAGGTGCGAAGGTAGAGCTGAGATTCTAACTAGACCCATGTGAAGATTCTACCAGGCTTCCACTGGACTGGAAGCTTCCTGGGGCTGCCAGGGAGAGGCTTAGCTCCCCCTGGAGCTCCCTTGGGGCCAGGCCTTTGCAGGGTAAATTCATGATTAGTTTGGAGAACATTTCTAGAATGTCAGACACATTGATACTTATAAAAAGCATAAGCATTCCAAAGCCAAATGGAAGCGGTTTTGGACACTCTGGGGTACTTCCCCCTCTAGGGACCACAGAGATGAAATGCTGCCTTTTCATTAGTGGTGTTTCTGCACGAATACACATACACGTGTATACACACACACACACACACACACACACACACACACACACACACACACAGTCGTCCTCATCATGTGGGCTGGGGAAGCTCAGGCAGGGGGTGGGAGGATGGTTGCTTTTGGAGGATGACACCACCTTCCATTTTCACAGTCACCTGGGAGGCAACCTGTCTCCTAAGTGTCAGACCTCACTGGCTGAGTTTCCTTTCTATCATCTCCGGTTTGGGCTTCTGGGTTGACATTCTAGATCCACCATACCCCATCTAGAATGGATGCCCTCTGGCCCTGGCCGGCTGTGTGCTGCTCAGGTTTGAAAGGTGAGACTTCGCAGAGGTTGAGAAGCTTTTCTTATTTGCCTGTCATGGTCCAGAGGGCTGAGTGTTCCGAATATCGAATACCAACCCCCCCCACCCCCAGCCTTGCTCTGCAGGGGTGCGGAAGGCTCTCATTGTTTCCTGGCTGGCAGTCCCCGCCTCCTTCCCCTCCCCCCTTGTCCCTGTAATACCTGGATTCGAGGATTTCCAGGGGATTGGGTCACACACAGGCTTTTGAACCATGTGATCAGGTATTCACTCTCCCAGGTTGAGGCTTCTAGGTCAGAGTTTTTCCTGTTTTTCCCTAAGATTGCCAGTGCCAATGCCCGCCTTAAGAATCAGCCTGTCTCTTGTCCTGCCTTCCCTTGTGAGAACTCAGGTGGGGCAGGGAGGTAATGTTAGAACCTGGCTGCCCACCTTCTTTTGTATGCCTTTGCTCTTTGGTCAGGTGTTCTCTGAGTCAGTTTCTCTGGAGTCAGGATTTCTATTTCTTCATTAACACTCTCAACCCTATCACTGCCCCAAGAGCAGAGGCTCGGATGGAAGCTTCCTTATGTGGCTATTTTGCCTCTTCTTTCTCATGCTCACTCCAGCAGCTCCCACTTAGTTTGTTAGTAACAAACTTAGCACGTTTTACCTCTTAGTTACCATGTTGGCATTATCTGCGGTAGACATCTGCACATTTTACAGATGACGGAACAGGGGCCTAGAGTTTGAGTGACTGACTGAAGGCGCCCAGCAGAAAGTCAGCAGAGCTACGATTCAAACAAGGTCCCTCCTGAGGGGCCACCAGCGAGTCCTGATGCATAGTCAGGAGGTCCAAGTTCCTTCTGCATCATTTTCTTTTCTTTTTTCTTTTATTATTTTTTAAATGTTTATTTATTTTTGAGAGAGAGACAGACCACAAGTGGGAGAGGGCAGAGACAGAGGGAGACACAGACTCTAAAGCAGGATCCAGGCTCTGAGCTGTCAGCACAGAGCCTGACGCAGGGCTCGAACCCACGAACTGTGAGATCATGACCTGAGCCGAAGTCAGAAGCTTAACATAACTGAGCCACTCAGGAGCCCCATCATTTTCTTTTCTGATGACATAAATGATATATACCAGTCTTTAATGGATTTGTCCAGAAACACAATTAACTCTTTGAAGTTTATCCTGCAATTATTTTTTTCTGTGAATAAACACATGTACACATCACCAATAATGTGATATAAAATTAAGGTCTATTATGTGGTTTAGGTCAGGTTTTTATTATGTTTTGAATAGGTAATATAATATCATGGTTCAAAATTCAAAAAAACAACAAAAAAGGAGAGGGTAAACTGTGAAAAATCTCCCTCCCTTTTCTGCCAGCAACCAGTTCCCCTATCTGTGTTACTATTTTATGTAAAATTTGATTTTTTTTCATGGTTGTGTATACAAAATTAACATCATGTGGATACCAGATGCATACATTTTGATTTATTTAATTAGACATAGATAATGGACATTTAAGTCATTTCAAATTTTGTGCTATTCTAAATAATTTTGTTATGGATATCCTTATTCCGTTGTGCTGTGCATCTATATTTCTTCAGAATTAATATCTAGAAATGGAAATACTATGTTAAAAGGCATGAACTTATTACCAAACTGTCTGCCAGAAATGTACCAATTTATACTTATGAGCAGGTTATGAAAGTATCAACTTCCCCTATAGTCTAGCCTTTTTAATGAAAACAGAATTTTTAATTTGCATTTCATATCCATATTAGGTAAATTTAAATTTTTTTGTTTTTGTTTTTTGGTTCATGTCTACTTATGTTTTGTGTCCCTTTTTAAATTAAAAAACATTTTTTTAAATGTCTATCCATTTTTGAGAGGGGAGGGCAGGGGGAGGGACAGAGAAAGAGAGAGAGAGAGGAGACCAGAATCCAAACAGGCTCCAGGCTCTGAGCTGTCAGCACAGAGCCTGACACAGGGCTCAAACCCACGAACCACGAGATCATGACCCGAGCCAAAGTTGGGTGTTCAACCGATTGAGCCACCCAGGCGCCCCTTGTGTGCCTTTTTAAAAGTAGGCTGCTCCTGTTTTTCTTATTGATTTGTAAGGACTCTTTATACGTTAAGATTATTAATGTTCTGTCAATAAATGTCAAATTAAGCCTGAGTTCTAGTCCTGCCTCTGCCCCCAGACTTCTGTGATGCCGTTCCACACTCCAGCCTTCAGTGTCTCTGGCTATGAATTATGTGCCCTCTGAGGCGGGCCACTTTCTGACTGACATGTCCGCATCCTTTAACCCTTCAGGCGCCAGGAGCTCCGAGAGCTTCGGCTGCTCCAGAAAGAAGAACACCGGAACCAGACCCAGCTGAGCAGCAAGCATGAGCTGCAGCTGGAGCAGATGCATAAGCGTTTTGAACAAGAAATCAACGTGAGTGTGAGGACAGATGGGTCCCTGGAGGGCTTCTTGCCTCCATGTTTTCTTTAGGGGCAGGAGAGAGACCGGTTCCTTTGGTTTCTTGGTCTCCTGGGCCACTGACTCATAAACACAGGATCTCATGAAGGTCACAGAGCTCCTCTGAGTCACAGAGGAGGACCTCTAGAGGGAGACCGACCTTTGCCGAGCACCATGGAAGAGCTCTGCAAGGCAGATGGTCTGGCCTCCCTTTTGTACAGAGGCAGCAGAGACTCTGGTTAAATGACTCGCCCCGGGTCGTACAGCAGAGAGGTGTAGAGCTGGGATTCAGGCCCCGGTCTGAAGATAAACTCTGGGCTCTCCCCATCTTGCATCCCATCTTCCTCCCAGGTATAAAGAGACTTTGCTCAGTTTCTCCTTCTACTCCTTCCAGGCCAAGAAGAAGTTCTTTGACACGGAGCTGGAGAACCTGGAACGCCAGCAGAAGCAGCAGGTGGAGAAGATGGAGCAAGACCATGCCGTGCGCCGCCGGGAGGAGGCCAGGCGGATCCGCCTGGAGCAGGATCGGGACTATGCCAAGTTCCAGGAGCAGCTCAAACTGATGAAGAAGGAGGTGAATATGTGCTGGGCGGAGGCCAGGGGCTCTAGGACGCAAGCGATCGAAACCCCAGCTCAGTCCCGCTTCAGCAACAGAGGAGACTCTGGGGAGCTCATGTATCTGAAAAGCTCACGTCCACGTGTCGGGATTCATGTGCTCCAGCTGCGTCCTGAGGAGCTACTTCTCTGTCATTTGGGCTCTCCTTTCCTGTGTTGACTTGGCTCCCAGGCAGCTTCCTGTATGTCGTCCCAGCTCAGCAACCCCAGCTGAAAGAGAGTAGGGGAGGAGGAAGGGCTGGCAGCCCAGGGGGATCTGAGATGCTTTCACCAGAGCAGGGGAACAGGTGCCGGGTGGCAAACACAATACGTCTTCTGTGCCCTGCCCTCTCTTCTCCCAAAACAACAGTCCCCTAGTTGGGACCCATGTGGCTCTTCTCTTTTCTCTCCCAACTGAAGAGGTGGGGGGGGGGGGGTAGGTGACAAAGAGGTAGATGGTCCCGAGACAAGGGGAGGGTGAGTCTCCTAGCCTGCCCTGGGGAAGGGCATCTGGGTCCCAAATAACAGCTCACACCTCCCTCTGTGGAGCCTGGGACATACTTACTAGGCCACTCCCAGTCTTCAGACAAACAGCTTCTAAGGGTGGTCCGTGGTGCTGCAGGCTTCAGAGCCCAGCTCCCAGACTGCAGTCTATGGGGGTGACATTTGTATCCAAGGGGCCTCAGGCAGCTGCAGGGGCTGGGCTGGAGCTGGAGCACAAAACTTAAGTGGGGGCGCCAAAAACCTTGGTAATCAAGACAAATAATATTGTAGCGTAGTGTTTTAACATCAAAATTATTGCAGAAAAGTCATGATGAACAGACTGTTGGCTATTTAAAGTCAGGATTCAACAGGGCCAGGTTTAGGGTAAGGCGGTGAGAATGAGTCCTGCAAGCATAGGGTGGATCCTGTCTGTATTTACAATTTTGATATTATGTTCGTGGCGGGAATTTTGATTTTTAAATTTTTATTTATTTTTATTTTTATTTTTTTATTTTTATTTTTTTATTTTTTATTTAAAAAAAAATTTTTTTTTCAAAGTTTATTTATTTTTGGGACAGAGAGAGACAGAGCATGAACGGGCGAGGGGCAGAGAGAGAGGGAGACACAGAATCGGAAACAGGCTCCAGGCTCTGAGCCATCAGCCCAGAGCCCGACGCGGGGTTCGAACTCACGGACCGTGAGATCGTGACCTGGTTGAAGTCGGACGCTTAGCCGACTGCGCCACCCAGGAGCCCCAAATTTTTATTTATTTTTAAAAAAAATCTTTATTTTTGAGAGAGAGTGAGAGCGCGTGCGCACGCAGGGGAGAGACGATCCGAAGCCGGCTCTGCGTTGACAGTAGATAGCCCGATGCAGGGCTTGAACTCATGAACCGTGAGATCATGATCTGAGCCAAAGTCAGATATTTAACTAACTGAGCCACCCAAGAGCCCCTGAATTTTGATTTGTTTTTTTAAATGTAATTTTATCTTCATTACTGAGATTTTTGGTATTCCTTTTTATGCCCGCGGTGAGTGCCTCACTGGCCTTACCCTGGTCCTGGCTCTCCTGCTGGGGTACAGCGCTGACACTAAGCATACCCCCCAGCTCCAGGGCAAGTGCAGGGAGCACAGGCTTGGGAGTCAGGTCTGGTTCTGAGTCATGGCTCTGGATTACTAACTATTGAGCTTTGGACAAGTGATCTTCCTGAGCCCTAGTTACCTCCTATCAAAATGAGAGCTATTCAGCACCTGTTTTATTGACTGTCTACATGTATGGCCCTGTGCTAGGTGCTGGGGGTACTGAGCAGAATAGATAGGGACTCTACCCTCAAGAAGCTGTTAATTGCCATGGAATCCAGAAGTTTTTGGCCATTTCTGATATTCATTAAAATTTTTATTTTTGAGAGGGAGAGAGAGAGCACAAGGGGGGAGGAAGGGGCAGGGGGGCGGAGAGAGAGAGAGAGAGAGAGAGAGAGAGAGAATATGTTAAGTAGGCTCCATGCTCAGTACGGAGTCCAACATGGTGCTTGATCCCATGACCCTGGGATCATGACCTAAGCCAAAACCAAGAGTCAGACGCTTAACCAACTGAGCCACCCAGGTGCCCCTGCTGTGCATTTTCCATTCCAGTCTCTTTCTCCCCAAAACACAAATATTAGACCTTTGGTATTTTCCTGTAAGTCCTAAACCTTTAGTTTTCATAATTTTTATTAGTCTTCAAATTCACGGGCTCTTCTGCCGCCTCCCCTCCACCCTGGGTCCATCCAGTGCTTTCTGTGTTTACTGTTAGATGCTGTATTGTTTGGTCCTAAGCTTTCTAATTGTCTCTGTTTTAGAGTTTGTATTTCTCTGTGGCAACATTCTCTCTCTCCATTAATCTCAAATATGTTTACCTTTACCTAACAGAGTGTGGTTATAATAGCTGCTTTATAGTTTTTGTCTGATAATTCCAGCATCTGTGCCATCTTGGAATTGGTATGTGATGATTTTTTTTCTTTGCAAATGGGTCACATTTCCTGATTCTTTGTACGTAGAGTAATTTTGGATCGTATCATTGACATTTTGAATGTTCTAGTCTGTGGACTCTGGGTCCTGTTACAGTCTGGAGAGTGTTGACATTTTTGTTTTAGCAGGCAGTTGATCTTGTTAGGTTCAGACCACAGGTTCTGTCCTGTCTTCTGTGGGTGGTGGCTCTGATCGTAGTATAGTTTTCAAAGCCCCTGCTGTACTGCTTTGGGTCTGTCTTGCTCCTGCTCGGCACGGGTGAACTTGAGACATGCGTGGGGTCATGCACAGAATTAGGGTTTCCCTCCTGCTGTCTTCTCTCTGGGATTCTTCCCATACTCTCTGACCTGCACAGGCCCCTCTTCCTGGTTCTCTGGCCAGAAACATGAAGTTTCTTACAGAGTCTTAGTTACCTTTCCCATTGCACTGCTGTGCAGGTCTGAGAGTGGTGCAAAGCCAGGACAGCAAAAGGGAAAACAAACAAACAAACAAACAAACAAACAAACTAGGAAACTCGCTCCTGTGCTGGCCCCCCCTACAAGTTTCGACTCTTCTGATAGTCACCTGCTTTTGTTTACTTTCCAGAGTAGTTGTTTTTTGTATTTTATCCAGGGTTTTTCATTGTGATCGGCAGGACAGGGAGGCTGTTTTGGCTTACGCTGACCATGCCAGAAGAACTCCCCTGGAATGTTCTTTTGATCATGGACAGTATTTTTCCACCAGCTGCTCCTAAGAGCCTTCCATCAGTGAGTTTGGAGTGGTGTTTCAGGCACCTGTAGAGGTGTGGGTTCCTCAGAACTGTCTGAGGAACTCTGGGTGCCTTGGAGAGAAATGTCATGAATCTCTTCTCCCTCTTCTGTTATAAAAGACAGAAACTGGGGGCACCTGGCTGGCTCATTCAGTAGAGTGTGCAGCTCTTGATCTTAGGGTTGTGAGATAGAACCCTACATTTGGTGTAGAGATTACTTACCAAAAAAAAAAACAAAACAAAACAAAAAAAAAAACAAAGAAACCCATTTCCAGCTGGCTTGAGAACACTTTCTGGCCCTGATCGGGAGGGCAGAAGTATCACCAGGAACCCTTCTTTTTCATGTTTTGGCATTGCTTCCCTGCATTCATCTTTGTCTCTGGCGGGCCCTTCCAGGGTGGCCCACCATGGCCTACATCCTAGTTTAGCAACCCCGGAGGACAGAGATCTGCTTTCCTCGATAGTTCCAGCACACATCCTAAAGCTCTCACTGGCCCAGCAAGGTGTCTGAACCAATCCCTGAGGTCAGGGCATGGAACATGTTGACCGACAGCCTGCATCATATATATGTGTGCCTGGCCTAGAGCCAGATGGAGGTGGCCGGGGGGTGGGGGGGGGCGGGGCGAGGGTAATCAGCACCATCTGAACTTCAGGAATGGAGATGTCACCCTTGAGGGGTGAGAAATATCTTAGATCATTATAAGGGTTTAACAGATTGACAGTTTGTGGGATTAATATTTCTTGGGGATAGGTGATTACGAAGAAAATGTCTACAGAGGTTTCTGGGGGCACAGTATGAAGAAAGGTTGACAAAGTCTGCCCTCAAGGAAGGGGAGGTGATGCTCTCAGAAGGCCGCAGGATGTCAAGCAGCAAAAGCAGGACCTCTTCACTCTGGGGGAGTCTGAAACCCAAGCCAGCAGCAGACAGGAGTAAGCCAGAGAGGACTACCTGTCAGGGGCTTGGTGGAGGGCGGGGTGGGGGGCCAGTGTCTAGAAAGCTGCGCCTCGCCTTTGGCCTCCCTGGCCCAGGAGTTCTGGTGTTGTAGTCTTTCTTTCTAGGAAGTGTGAGGAGGGACGCTGACCCGGCTGCTGTCTTCTGTTTCTGGTACAGGTGAAGAACGAGGTGGAGAGGCTTCCGAGGCAGCAGCGGAAGGAGAGCATGAAGCAGAAAATGGAGGAGCACGCACAAAAGAAGCAGCTTCTCGTGAGTCCTTGCCCTCGGTCAGCGAGTCCCAGGTTGGAGGACCCGAGTGATGACCAGGTTCCTCCTCTGTCTCAAGTCCAGCCTATTTTGTTGACACCTCCCTCACGCAGCCTTCCTTGATTGCTCTCGCTCCAGGTAGAAGTGAGCTCCCTGTCTCTGGACACCCCAGCCCTGTACATCCGTGTCTTAGGGTTGTTTGTAGGCCATGTCTCCTTGAATAACCCAGTACATCCACCTGCCCACTTGGCACCTTTTAGAATCTTAAGACAAACCCACGACCTCCCAGACCTGGTCCTGTTCTTGTATTCTGAGGGGGCACTGTCCTTCATCCTGCTGTCAGGCCAGAAACGTTGTTATTTCTGACCGTTCCTTTCCTTCCAACCCTTTATCACCTCCTGAAGCGTGGATTTTGTTTTTTTGTTTTTAAGCTCCAAACTGTCTCTGGATCTGCCAACTTTGTCAATATCTCTGTGACTCCATAGCGACTGTCATCTTTTGCCTGGACTACTGCAGTAGCCTCCCAGCTAGCTAGTCTCCCTGCTTCCTCTCTTGCTCTCCTGCAATTTTCTCTCCCACCAGCCAGTGTAATCAATATGAACTCCAGATCTCATCATGTCACCCTCCCCCTATAGCCTTGTGTCCTGAAAACCTTCAGGGGCTCCCACTTTGTGTATAAGATAAGACGAGCCTCCTCATGTGCTTACAAGGCCCTGTCCGTCTGGCCCCTGCTAGCCTCTCCCTGCTCCACTCGATCCTCCTGGCCCCAGCCTCACTGGCCTTCTCCTTAGCCTTTGTCGGACCATGTGCTTGTTTTTCTCCTACTGGGGCATCTGTACATTTTGCTGCCTCTGCCCCCAAATGTATAGAAAATTAGAGTCTACACTTAAAATGCTTTTGTATATTACCCAGTTTAGCGTTCATGGCTTATCAGGGTAGGTGCTATTTGTTTTTCCCTTTACAGAGAAAGAAAATAAGGCTTAGAGAGGTGACTTTGTAGAGTTAATGGTATGGGGCAAGGCTTGAAACTCAGTCTGACTCCAGGCTTCATGTTCTCTCCAGGACACCATCATACTTTCCTACAACCTGTCCTTTGATGCTGTGATCAGAAAAAAAAATGCAGGGCTGGGGAGGGTGGGGGAGATAGGCCCCATCCCCACACAGGGAGAGCATATTGGGCCTTTAAGGGGGCCATTCTCGCAAGGGCATCAAGAGCCTCAAAAATGTACACATTATTGGCTTGGATTTTTTTGCTTCTAGAGAGACTAATCCTAAGGATTAATCATCACAGAAGTTCACAAATATTT